AACTATTTAATTGATATTATTTAAATACATTTAAAGATTTTGTATAGCTCCAGTTTTCCTTTTGCCTCCCATTGGGACATTAAGCTAAAGGCCCTTTCCGGTGGGATATCCAAAAGTAGAGTCCTGTTTGCTATTGCAAATCTATTACAGAGCATTCCCATTGCTCAACCTTTGCTCCACGCTTTCTTTAAGCATATTTTCTGTTATTGCCGTTGCCATTGCCGTGCTTTATGATTATTGTTATTACACTTACGAGTATGTATGGTAGAATTTTTCTTCTCAAAAATGTACACACATATGTGTGTACTTTCTTAAGCAATTTTTCAATTTTATGTAGACCAAAACTCATAAATAATGAACGAAACAGGAAACCCGAAACAGGACGAAAGTGGGGCGGCTGTGGAGGGCGCAGAGAAGTAATCAAAAAGTGTGTGCTAACTAAATTGTTATTGCTTTCAAATGTCACGTATCATTATCATAATTTTTTCGCCTTGACATTTTTAAGTAGCTGCCATAAATGTTTATAACTTTTACGGACAGAAACAGAGTGAGAGTGTGAGAGAGAGACGGAGTGTTTCTATTAACCCTCCTGTGGTCCTCTGGCTCTCTTAACATTATTGGACCCCAGGGAGAGAGGCTGGCAGGCCAGGCAGGTCTGTCTCTGTTGGCCACACACGTAGACACCTCTACCTTGACATTCATATTCATAATTTATGGCTCACCAACATAAAAGGAGGCCCAAACCGTAAGTAACTTTTTATGGCTGAAAGCAAGGAAGACTTTTTCTTTTCGTTAACTTGCAATTAATGATTAAAACATGTTTAATAACCATCTGCTGACAGCCAAAGAATACTAAATAATATTCTTTAAGTAATTTTAATTTTCTTTAAGGGAAAATCGGGTGTGGAAAAACGGTGCTTAAGAATAAGGATTTGGCATATTTTTTAAAGCAAATAATGGCCTCGCTTTAATTCTTTAATTTTATTTATATTTTTTTATAATATATTATTTATATTAAATTAATTAATTAAATTATTTTTTACAAGCAATTCGCATTTAAAAAATGTAGAACACATTCAAATCAACAAAAAGAATAGTTAAAAAAATTTTAATAAAATATTACTATTATATATTATTATTATTTTATATATTATTATTATTTTATATATTATTATTATTTTATATATTATTATTATTTTATATATTATTATTATTTTATATATTATTATTATTTTATATATTTTTATTATTTTGTATATTATATTATTATTTAAAAAATTTATGATTCCATCAAATAAAATTACGCACCAGAAAATTAATTTGTTCGGAAGAATGTATTATGAAAAAATTGTGTAAAACAATGAGTTCCATTTAAACTCAACTCAGAGATAAAGAATCGTATGAATTGTCGTACGCCTACGTATAAAAAATGCTAATCTATAAGGCCCACACTTTACAGCATAATTATTTCAACAGTCAATACAAATTTCCTTGGAGAAAAATTTGAATTAAATTACAATAAAAATAGCTGAAATAAATCGTTGAAAATTCCCAATAAGCTTGAACTTTTATCAGAAGAATAACAAAAGTCCACAAATGTCCCAGAACTATGGAATGTTATTCCAACAAAACAAGAGTCCCTCTCTCAAAAATACATATTTTAGGGGGGGACGGGGGTCGCGGTAGGGGCCATAAAATATGAGAAATTGTTGCCATTTTTGTTGAGCTCTAAAATTAATTTTGCATAATTTTATGGGCGCACATTTCTGTGGAGAGTCTAGACTAGGCATTTGTTTCAATTTAATAAAATTGTTATTTTATGCAATATGTTTTTGTTGGTGATTAAATCGATTTTTGCATAAATATATTGTGTGGGTATTTATTTAAACGAATCGAAGGGAGAACTTTGTTAAAATTACTCGGAAAAAGTAAAAACAGAAATGACGATGCGAATGATGCGATGATGAAAAACTTGCCCCACCACAAACATTAAAAACTAATCAAACTTTTAAATACACTTCAACCGCAGTAGCAGCAACAGACTTAAGATTGAGATATAGCTAGGGGTCTCGGTGGGGTGGAGTGGGGTCTGGTGGGGGTCTGGAGGAGGGGGCGTAACGCGCTGACACCCTGAACAATTCGACAGGCGTCTTAAGAAGCATCTCTCTCTTGGCATCGACTTTGATTTGTTGCCTCCTTGGTGTCTCTCCTCTCCTTTCGTTTCTCCTCGTTTTTTGGCCTTAACTTTAGCCGGACTTTTGCCTTGTTGTCAACGTCAACAGAAATTGATTGCTCACCAAGAATCCCAGCCACAGTATCCCGACCCCACCCCACCACCACCACCCCGCGCTTCCTCTTACTTTTTATACCCTATTGGACTCTGCCTCTGTGGCATTTTCATTTCATTCAGAGTTGAGTTTACTTTGCGCAAAAACTTTTCACCCAGCAAAAGAGAGAGAGAGAGAGAGAGAGAGCTTCTGAGTCTCAGTCTCTCCGTCTCTCATTCTCCAGTGAATTATCCTTAGCCAGCGGACCACGGAAGCGCCTACTCCCCGGGACCAAAAACTTTGACACAGTTTAGGAGCCAAAAGTTTAATGGAATTTGTCTATGGCATCGCCTTCCGGTGGCACCCCACCCCCCCTCCTGGCACCCCTATCTACCACTCTGGCCATCCAATATAAATAAAACAGCATTCAACTTGTTTTTAAAGCAATTAAAAATTCTTTAAGACTGCGCAAGACCTGCCACTGCCTCTGCCTCTGCCTCACGGTAGGCCACAAAATATGCGATCGCTGTGGGGTGGTGGGGGGGGGGCTTAAGGGGTTTAGCTCTGGAACTGCAATTTTCCTTTGCACTGAGAAAATGTAAACACAAGTGAAGTAATAACTAAAGTTTTTAATTTTAAAATGATTTATATTTATTCTTGGGTCTTAATTTCTTTTACTTTGAGGGCCAAGGCTTTGATGGAAAAAATTAAGGTAAGAGAACAGAAAAGAGGGCACAGTAATATGGTGGAAATATGAGAGAGACTCCGCCTAAAACATGTTCGGATCAAGCCGATCGACGCTGAAGCGGCAGCTGAAGCGGCAGCCGAAGCGGCAGCCGAAGCGGCAGCCGAAGCGGCAGCCGAAGCGGAAGCCGAAGCGGAAGCCCAAGCCAAAGCCGAAGGAAGACTTTGGTTGGTTAATTCATGCACAAGACATGTATGTGGTGCAACAGCCACTTAATTCCTAGCCCTCCGTTCTAATTCCTTTAGTTTTTTGGTGGCTGGGGGCTCATTTAAGCATTTAAATAAGACTGCCAAAAACCAATTGGAAATCTAATTTAATTTAGCAACCAAACAATTGTTTGCCTACTTTTTTGTGTGTGCCTGTGTGCTCCACATGGCGTATAAACAATGCGGCTTGTTTATTGCTTATACGCTGCTCCTTCCCACCACAGGCATAAAACGCACACACAAACACACGGATACGCAGCCACACATTCGCACACAGTCATCCACGAAAATGCTCAGCATCATTATCAACACTTCGTGGAGCACAAACACAGAGAAATATACATATACTATATAGTACAGAAATACTTGTTCAAAGAGAGAGGGCGGGCGGGCTGGTTGGCGATGAAAATAGGTTTCAGAGAAAACTGTGGTCTTAACTACTTTCTGCACGTCTGCAGATAAAATCGATAAATTCCTTTTCGTAAAACGAATTAGGAAACTAATTGACTTGGATTTCGCTTAAAGAATCCCACATAAATCGTTAGCTTAAGCGTGATTCTGGCAGTTGGGGTGGCATTGTGGCACTGTGGCATTGGGGGGGCCTTCAATGTGTTTTTTTTTTTTCTCCACTCAAATGCCAAACCGAAATTGGAACAGAAAATGCATTTTATTTGTGATATTTTTTTTTTGCATTTATTTTTTTTATTTTAATTATGTGACGGTGAAATGTGATTAAATGTGAAACATTTTCACCCGCTTCCCAGTCGGTGCTCCACTCCTTCAGCTGCCGCTAACCCACTCAACGCCACCGCCATCAACGCCGTGCCGTCGTCGTCGTCGTCATCGTCGTCATCGTCGTCATCGTCGTCATCTGTGCATCATTCAGAGTTAGCCAAGCGTTGACAAACACTAACAAGGCGCAAATATTATGCCCACATTTCCTGGCTTTCAATTTAATTTACCTCCAAAACACACACATTTAGGGTGCACACCCCAGTCCTCCCCTAACCAGACGGGGGGTATCTGTGCAGGCATTTTATGCTCGGCTTATTTGGGCGAATGTCTATGCCACTCGACGGAAAAATGCGCGTTTAAGGGGGGCGGCACCGCAGAGAAAGCCGAGAATTTGTCACTTAATTCATTTGAAAAGGCAACGTTTTGGGGATCATTTGGTGTATGGAATAAATGGCTTAAAGGAAAGGTTTAAAACCGAAGCTGAATAAAGCACTCCACGCCTAGGCTCCATGCTAAGTCAGTCCCCAGAATCCAGCAACAAAAACGCACTTTTGTTACTTATCAGTCCAACAAATCCAACAACAAAATACACACTCTTTGGCCACGAGCAGAAGTCGGTCCCAAGTAGGACTTAATATGATGTTTGTATGATGTGTATATGTATGATGTGTATATGTATGATGTGTATATGTATGATGTGTATATGTATGATGTTTCTATGAGCACAGGTCCTCCAGTAATTAAGATAATTTCTACCTTTACATTGAGTCTTCCTAAATCATTCTTAAATACAGTTTTGAGCACTGATTCTTTTCTTAATTTATTTAGAAAAATATTTACATACCTATTATTATATAGCCACCAGAGGGTATAGGATCGACTACGCTCTTCGTGCCACCCTTTTGCTTTTCCTTTTTCTCGGAACTTATTCAAACAATGTGTTGACCGAGAAGTCATACATAATAACAGTAAGTAAGTATTCTATATACTTCATTCACAAATACCATATTACATATAAAACAAACCAAAACAGCTCCCGAACTGCTTGGAAAAATGACTGATCAGATTTCGATGGATGATGCCGGGCCGCGGAAATCGCGGGGACAGCAGAACGTGCACAACCAATGGGATACACTAATGAATCCGGATATCACGGATCCTTTGGTCTTTAACAATCGAACACCCACATCGATGCTGAGCCGCAAGGCCACTACCCTGGTGCTGCCGGACTTTTCACGCTTCACATTGGCCAATCTGGCATCTCTGCCTTCGGACAGTGCCGGCGATATAGAGACCGCGCAATCACATGCCGTGGATCAGCTGACAACGCCAGCGCCGATCTCCAAGTACACAGATCGTGTGGTGGACGATATACTGCAGCAGATCTTTGAGGAGCGACGCGGCGACTTTACGGCAACATCCTCGCACTGCGACCTGGCCGTTGTGAAGTGGGCCAAGTCCAAGAAGGAGCTGCATGTCGATGCGCGTCTCAAGTACTGGCGCGAGATGATGCAGCGACGCCGCAAGCTGCAGGTTCGAGTGCAGAAACTCACGGGCAAGAATGCCGCCGAAGTGCTGTTCAATCGACCCGCCACTCTGGAGAATCGTAACGAGCAGACGGTGAAGCGTCTGCTGGAGTACGCGGAGCGCATGAAGTGCCAGAAGCTGATGGTGAAGACCGTGTCCGCGCTGCGAGAGTTCCGGGATCCCTGCACGTGTACGATCATCCGGGAACTGCTCGAGACTCTGCCCAAGGCAGAACGCGATGGCTACAAGGACGTGGAGATCATAGGCCTGCCAGATGTGACCAAGCGAGAGCTTTTGGGCAGAGAGGCAATGGGCCAGGATCTGCCACGTGGCTGGCTAAAGTCCAACGTCCTGGATGAGCGTCTCGAAAAGCGATTCGGCCACATTTGCAATGTTCTCGACTTTTTCCCCGATCTGGATAACCTGCAGGTCACGGGCATCAATATCGAGCGGCTCAGGCGTGTGCCATCGACCACCTTTATGGGTGCACCATCCCTAAGGACCATAACCAATAGCTCATCGTTGCCCTGCCACGAGGAGTGCGAATACGAGTCGTATACGGAGTATCAAACGCCTTCCGTAGAGGCGGCCGAAGTACCGCAGCTGGGGCTGCGGATCAACAAGAAGGACTACATCCCAGGCGAAGGCGATGAGGGTCTCAACGAGTGCTTTGAAATACTGATAAAGTTCTCCTGCGATCCCTTCCAGCGCAGTGCCCAGCATATCCTGCAGCTGACCAACATTGGCCAGCAGACGCTGTCCTTCGCGTGGAAACAGGGTGTCTACTACTACAATCGGGGCTCCCTGCTGCTGGCCAAGGACAATGAGTTCCTTTTCGACCTGGATAGCTTTCGTTTGACCTACGGCGAGACCCGGAACATCATCGTAATGTATCAGCCACGAAAGGTGAGCATGGCCGTGGAACTGTGGTTCTTAAGCGTGGACCCCAGGATATTCTGCAGCAACAAGGAGTCGCTGTTGGTCCGCTTACACGGCTGCTGTACCACCCCAAAGGAATACAGGGCCAAGCTGAGGGAGCTCCGCTGCATTCCCATATGCAAGGCGAACACCGAAGAAGTCAATCAATTGACCACAAGACTGGGCACAATATCGCCCTTGGTAGTGCCGCCGCCCGCCTGCTGTCCCTACGATCGGACGTTGGATGAACGGGAGATCTTTAATGCCTTGAATCCGGGCCATCATTGCTGTCGTTTCGACGATCTGGAGGTGCTCAAGGGTCTGCACCAGCAACTGAAGAAGCCACGTGAACGGCCATGGGATCTGCGGCTGGACACCATCAAGGAGTACATAATGCGCATCGAAACGTTGGAGGATCGCGAGAAGCTCTTCATCCTGTACATGGATATCCTGGCCAATATGCTGGAGCCGTCGTGCAGCCTGGACGACATCCGGCAGATGGACACACAGAAGCAACGCTCGCGTTTCATCTACGTCCGCGGCGTCATCTGCAATGGCATCGAGGAGTGGGAGGATCTCATGTGCACCATCGAGGAATCGTTCTTTAAGCCAGAACTGCAGCGTTACTACATCACTCTCTTGCAGCAGCTGCAGGAGGAGGAGGAGGGTGACGAGCCGGTTCAGGATCTGAGTACATTGACCACACTCTCACCCGCAGATCTGGAGAAACTGCTCGAAGTCTATGCCGAAGAAGAGCTGGACGAGGAGAAGATCAAATCCATTGTGTTGTCAAAGCTCTACCATTCGAAATACTTTCGGGACACCCTCTTTATACAGACCTACTCACATTTGTGCAACATAGCCGAAGATATTGTATCTGTCATCGAAAGCACAGATGTTGTACCAATATAGAAACATAAAGAACCTTTTCCTTAATTAGTTTTTGGTTCTTTTTTCTCGTTGATTTCTTAATTGAAAAGACGGCTACGAAAAATTCAAATAAACCAAAAGAAAAGTTGGAAAATGGCTCTTTCATATTTATAAATTCATATGCAATTGCCATTTCTTTTGGCTTCGTGCCTTCGCTGAACGAAATTGCAACAAACATGCAAATATATAATTTTAATAAAGTCCTGGAGCAGCCCCAAAGACCGTCTGTCCCCCTTGCACTGCTTGCAAGCTGCTCATCAAAAATACCGGAAAAAAAACAAGTAAGACGAAGGGTATCCTCGGGTAGCTTTTGCTGATCGTGGGTTTGAGGTTCGAGTGCTGATGGTTCTTCGTGGTTCGATGGGGTGCTTTCGGGATCAAACATTTTCGAGTCGAACCTTTCTTCAAAGGGTAGTACCCATTTCGAGGGTATCAAAAAGGTTGAAACTTGCCGCACGGCAAGTCTTTTGACAAGGTAAAAGTTGTCGCTGCTTTCGCCGGTTGTTGTAGATGAGAGGGGCAGAGAGAGGGGGCGTGGTGCATGGGGTGTGACTGCCACGGCACTTGATAAGCTCCGGAGGGCGGGTTGAAGGGGTGTTATGAAAAATGTGAAATACGAAATTTATGTTCCAACAAAATATTTTCCATGTAAATTCCGTGTTTGTGCTACTTTTTTGTTAGCCGTATCCGCCGTGTCGTCAATGAGCGCAATTTATATGCAATTTGTATGCCAAAGGAATACAAAGAAAGATGTGGAGATAGGGGAAAATTCTCTTAACAGTATCTCCATTGTATTGGATAATTTAATTATTAATTTTAATTCATTAATTGTACAAGAAACATAGAATATAGAAACTATTGCACAGGAGGCTTCCGGAAGTTGGGGAACTTTTCAACACTCTTGTTGTGCCTCCTCACTCTCATAACTTTCTTGAGAATCATCTGGATATGAAGAATATCCGCCCCCATAGTATGAAGGATATTCGGCCCCATAGTATGAAGGATATTCGGCCCCATAGTATGTAGGATATCCGACCGAATAACCGTAGTACTGGGGAACGGCGAATGCAGCGGCCACCAAAGCAAATAATACGATCTACAGGGTCCCGAAATGTCACATTAATATTCTGTACATTTTGACGGCTGTCGTCTACTCACCAAGAAATTCATTTTGGTTGATCTACAATTTGGAATTGAATTTCATTTGGAATATAGGTTCGTACTTATAGCAAAAATCACTGCACAGCTTGGAAATCACTGAAAAGATAAGAGTCTACCTTTTGAACCGAATTCTCACGAAGAGATAAACATGTACACGAAGACCTCTGATTCCAAGATCGACAAAGATCACATTCTCTCATTCCCAAAATCACAAATATTCCGATTATAACCAGACTTTTATGGTTACTAAGAATGCCATAGATCTGAACAGCCGATAAGCTTCGATTTCAACGAATTTTAGAGTTCGCTGGAACCTATTTTGTTTTGTCTATAAATACGAAGCTCTAGCCAAAATTTCATACATAAGTGACATGAATTTATTGGTAAGTAGAGCTGAGGAGTTTGTAAAATATTTTAAATATTCATTTGATTTCCCTTTAAACAGCACATTCTAATCATGGCCTTGATGGCAGCTGCAGTAGCTTCCAAACATCATAGTCATGGTCCACATCACTGTCACAATCACCATAACCGTCACCATTGCCAACAAAATGTACAAAACGTACAATGCGGCTTCGGACATTACGAAGAAACAAATCTGGGAGGCGGTGGACAATATGATGGAGGACTTCAGGCAGGAGATATCAAAGACACATATGATACAATCCCTGATTTCGACGCCTATCTAAGCAAAAACACAAGCCCAAGTTTGTTTTAAGCAAATACACATTATCTTATATAAATAAGTATATTACTCTTTTTATGATTATTAAAAAATGTATAAGAATGCGCAAGTAATTCTTTCGTTTGCCTTTTATTCACAATTCGTTCAGCAATTTGCTATTTTCAGCAACAAGTGTCTCACACAGACACAACAAATAGAGAGGGAGAAGACAAGGAGCAGAAATTGCCAGCTTTCAACGGGAGAGCAATAAGGAAGAGAGCACACAAGCGAAGCATGGAGTGTGCGATAGACGGAGAGCAGGGCAGGGAATATGAGCGAGTTTTAAGCCTGCTGCGCAATTACAGTTTCACTCAAAAATCGTGGGTTCAACAAAAACTGCTTGCGGTTTGACAAGGGCGGGGCGAATCAGTGGCAAAAGGAAATCCAAAGCGGCAAAATTAGCAGCGCACCGCACCCCTTCGTCCCTTGGGCAGAGCGATTTCTTTTCGTGAGAAGCGCGACGAGAGAGAGAGAATAAGGAAACATAAAAAACCTCAAATTTTCCACTTACCTTTGCATTTTATTATCTGATTTTCACCTTTTTTTTTGCACCGGAACACTACGCAGCTGCTCGACACAATTTTCATTTTATTTCCGGAGTTTTCGCGCTTTTCCCGGTCTGAAAACGCGGAGCTGACTTAGGACGCGTGCTTTCTTGGGTCCGCGTTAGGATATTATATCGATATATCGATTCGGCTGATATTCTTATTTTCCATACGATATTATCATTGTGATATTTTTGTCCACGATTATATCACAAATCGATATTTTTAGACCCAATTGCAAACCGAATATTACACAGCTGGCTCTCAAATATTTAACATATGGCATCAACAATAAAATTAGTTGTTAAAAACAACTGCTATCTGCTGTAAACAAACAAAAATTTTGAAAATGAACTTTTGAATTTTTTTCCGATATAATCGATACATTGATATTTTATAAATGATGCATTCGATATGGTGATATTTTTTAAGCAATTTACATTCCGTGTGAAATGCAAGTGTGGGAGTATTAGTGCTCGATCAAATTGTTCTCTCATTGGAAATTAGCATAGATTCCGTGTTTCACTGCCTCTCTGATGTTAAAAAGAGCATGCAAATTTATGCTGCAAGTTTTCTCCTACTCCTATGGCCCAATGTGAACAAAAGTTTATGCATGTGTTTGCCACTTGTTTGCAGAGGGGTGATTGAGCGGGTTAAGGTGCACTGCGCCTGCATGGGCGATCTTAGGTTAGTAGTCTCTCTCTCTCTCACTCGCTCAGCTTGGTCCCTTGAGTGAGAGTTTTCCGTGTAATGCTTGACTAAATGCCCGAAATCTGTGCTCTTATTGGAATTTGATCGTTGCAAGTCCTGCTGTTTGCTTGTTTTTTTAAGAAAAAAAGGAAAACAAAAACGATGAAGTGGAAGATGAGCAAAAGCGAATGGCAATATTTCCGAAGAGAGAGCAGCTAGAGCGAGACTTACTAATACTCCTACGCCTCACAGCTGTGCCGCTCTCAAGCGTTTATTTCTGCATTTTTTTTTTTGCTATATTTTCCCACGCATACAAACACACACACACCTTACAAGACAGCACGAAAAAAACCGCGAGGCAAATGAAAATATGAATTTGCACAGCTTTCCGCAGATTGTTTTAATTGATCTGATTGTTTCGAGTTTCTGGAATTGTGTATTACGTGGGTCCTATGCTTGTCACACCCCAGTTTTTCTTGAATTTAACACTTAAAAACCGCGATTTTTGTATGAAATTGTAACTGCGTAGAAGATTTAGCACTAGCGCATAGCATTCTGTCCTTCTCTTGCTCTTTCCACGCTTTGCTTGTGTGTCGCTCTCTCATTGGGATTCGTCTCCCCCCTCTACCCATACCCATATGATGAGCGAACATTTTTGTGTGGCTGTGGCCCACTTGTTGATACAAAAATGAACGGTACAAGATATTGAACGAAAGGTTTTGTGAATTTATGGTTTGTTTTACCACTAGAGGTATTGTTCAAGTCAGGGCGGTATTTCAACAGATTATATACCCTCTCAAATCATTATCATAGACTATTTAATTTTCCCAGCATAGGCCACACCCAAACTTTTACCTAATAAAATTTGCAAAACTTTCTTCCACTATTTTTTCTTCCTTTTTTTCAGGCTTCAACGCTTCACCCTTTTATATTATTTTCATTTTACTTTTTGGAACAAGTCAAAGTTCGTGCTGGCTGGGTTACATGTTCGAGTGTGCACCATATTCCTGTTCAAGTTCAAAAAATTTATTGTTTCAATAGGGCCAAACGACATATGCAACATTCCAGAGAGTTTCAACTAGCAAAAACCGATATAATAGAAATTGAATTTCTATAAAAGTTTCGACAGCATGCAAAAGACAAAGTTTGTCCAGACTCGGGGGGGGGGTGGGGGTGGGGTATTGGATCACATACGCTGCCACGCCCACCTTTCGACAGCCATCTGACTGAAGAGTTTGGCAAAAGAGTTAAGTAGCCAATCACCATGTCCTCCCATCACACCCGAAAACTATCTGAGAGATTCTCCTCTATCTCCTTTACTTTTATATGCTCCACGGGCTCCCCGAAGGGGGGGCCGCTGTCAACACTTGGACTTCCGTTTTGGGGCGCTGCTGCTGCTGTCAGCAAAATGTCACCAGCATGCACATGGAATCGGTTTTCTTTTTTTTCTCCCTTTCTCTCCTTACGTCCTGTATTTGATTGGGCTTGGGGTACGGAGATTGGCCATCGCCAGACTCCTTCTGACTGCCCGTGTGCGCCTCCTGCCATCCTGGCCGACTGCCTGGTCAGGCGGCAGCAGTATTATTTGCTTTTATTTTTTGCAAGTCAATAGCTTTGGCTTTTAAATTTATCGACTGACGTTTGATGCGCTTCATTTAACTTGGAAACATTTTTCAACTCAAATTCTCCATCGCCTTCTCGTCCCTCGACTGCAGTTCTGGTTTGCAGGCGTTTTTTTTTTTTAGAAAATACATGGCTAACATTTCTCAGCCCCTATCAAGTCCGAGCCGAGAGTCTCTCTCTCTCTCCCCCTCTCTCATTCAGTAAAAGTTTTGTACGTTGCATGGCAGATGTTAAGTGTCATTAAATTCTGTCGCACAATTGTTGCAGCTGCGAGCAGAAAGTTAAAAGTACAGTAGGGTACAGTAAATAGTCGAGTGATTGCTGAAAAATTTACTGCCGAGGGAAATTGTCTCTTTTGCACGAGTAAGACGGCTAAGAGGCTCTTCGAGAGAGCGAGTTCTTTTATTTGGAGTCTCCACTGTAGTTACAGCTACTTAAGTATTAATACATCAACAGTCTACAGATCCAGAAACGGCTCTGGATCTCCACTTATCCCATCCCCAACAAGTGTGTCCAACAGCCACAAGGAAACAAATCGTAGAGACAACTACAACGAGTACTAGTACTAGAGTCCTGGGCCTGTCTCGGCCATAAAGCAACAATACGAGTATTGCCCATACAAATACAAAAAAAAACCAAAAAAAAAGAGAGAAAGAAAAAACTCAATGGGGCTACTTGAACCCAAGCCAAAGGGACAGGGAGAGGACTAGCCTGCAGGACACAGCTGCTGTCATCCATTTGGTTATCTGGCAATGCACTTCACAAAAATGCTCCGGCAATCGAGGCGTGGGGCTGGGGTGGGGTTTAAGCCCGGGGTCTAAATGCAGTCAACTGCAAAAACATACACTGCTTCACGGTTATTTTGCTCTTTAGTTAGTTGCCATATTTTCCAATCCCTTTTTGCCTGGCCATCCTCCCTAGGCCCCCTCTTGCACCCTCTGTTTGGGGGGCGTGACCGACGCCCACTTAACAAATATCAACTAAAATGGCTTTATATATTGTTGAGATAATAAAAATCCAACAGGGTTCTCTACACAACAGCATACAGGATACTGGATCTAGGATGGTAACCCCATTCACCCCCCCCGCCCCCTCTCTCACTCTCCGTATGTGGAACGCTTTGATAGCCAAGGGATAAACGATAAGTAGAATGGAAAATAACTAGAAATAAAATTAAAACTACAAATGTACATCAAATCGTTGGAAGGTTGAATGAACCTGGGTTTTGATCGGGGAATAAAAGTGCAAAAAAAACCCTTAAAAAGATTAGAAAACAATATCCATAAGAGCCCATATTTGGGGTGCATTACGTGTAAGGTGAGGCATTACAGGTATTACACTCACGGCACTAGCATGTTTTCCTTCAACTTAAAATGCACTCGCACTGAACGAGAGAGAGGGAGAGGCCAGGGCGCACCTTAAATTGAGAGACCTTACTGAACGAAGGCAGCGCTGCCTGCGTGGGCGGCTTATCTCTCTTTGCTTCGCTTTCCAAATGAGGTCTCTCTCTTTGCTTCGCTTCCCAAATGCTCGCTCAAGCTCTCTCTCTCTCTCGGCTTCGCTTCCCAAATGCTCGCTCAAGCTCTCTCTCTCGGCTTTACTGCCGAAATGCTCGCTCGAGCTCTCTATCTCTGCTGCGCCTCCTAAATGCTTGCTCAAGCTCTCTCTCTCTCTCTCTGCTGCGCTTCCTAAATGCTCGCTCAAGCTATCTCTCTCTCTCTTTCTGCTTCTCTATCTAATTGCTCTCCCATTGCAAATCGCCATTCTTTTCTGCTCGGCTCTCCTACGGCAAAAAAAAGGGTGAACAACGTTTCTGTTATTTTTTTGGCCCTTATAATTTTGCTGTCGAAAATGTTTTAGAACATAAAACATCAATAATTCAACAAGTAACTAAACATTAAGAATGGATTAATATTACTGCCCATCGCCATCCCCGTTACGCCGTCCACCTTAATAATGTTACGTATACCAGGAAAGCAATACCAAAGGTCAGGAGCCAAGGGAGTACTTTAGATGCGACTGCGGGAAAACAAAAAAAAAACCTGATATAAGACCTACAAATAGCATTGGATCCTTACCAAACCTTTTCAGGTATTTGCTTGCACCATGGCCTGTTGGCTTTCGTAATAAATTTATGTAATTTTTTCGTTTCAAGTCGAGCACAGCCTTGACCCGCGCAGGCAAATGATCTTTCTTCTTTTTCTTCTTTTTCGTCTTGTTCTTCAGCTTGTTCTTTACTTGTTCGCACAAATTACGGTTAATCGGGTTACGGATTATAGACTTCCAAAGTTTTAATTCTTGATGCTGCTTGAAAAGTAAAATTCTGCCTTTAACCTTTGGCTGCTGGACGGTTGCTTCGGGCTGTTCCTCTCTCTTCTGGGGAGTATTCTCAAGGCCCCGGACCATGTCTGGGTCTGTGATCTCTTCTGGCTGCTCTGGGTCTTTGAAAAACTTTGTCAGCCTGGGTGACGTCACTGCCAGCTTCTGTGACAGCTCGTACAGACCCTCCATGGACGACATGGAGGTACGCTCTTTCAAGTCAGGCAGCTTTAGGACCGCATTTAGATTGCGTTTTCGCAGGCTCGAGTCGTCACAGGGTGTGCTCACAATGCCCTCGGCTGTGAACTTTGACCTACTCGGACGGATCATGGTGGGACTGCGGTGGATTGGCATCAGCTGGGAGTGGCTGATGGAAGGAGCGACTGTACTTACGATTCAGCTATGAAGTTTGTGTTTTTGAACATTTCAATAAGGCGGTGTTCTTCTTCTTCATCATGGTTGTACGATGAAAATGTTTGGGTTTTATCATAGCTCATTGTGTTATTTTTTTTTTATTTTACAAAATTTGTAAAGAGAGTTGAACTCTTGTTTGATTGAAATGTTGAATGTTGACTTTGACGTAGTTTTTTAGAGTTCTTAGATTGAACAAAATAATGAACGAAAAACTTGAATTAATTAGTCAGCTCGTTTGCACTGCAATTGTGCACGGGCCCGACCCTTGGTGACCCCAAGCCCCTGACTCGTTGCCCAGTATCTGTTCCTTATGGTACTCACAATTAGCAGCATCGATTGTTTAATGACAGTCGATTGTAATAAGCCAATTTTCCGGCAAAGAGGGCGAGGGGAGTGGGCGCTTTGCATTTGAATTCAAAATGCGAAATAAGTTCATTAGCAGGACCCTCGCTCTGGGCGATGTGCCAGGACAAAGGACTCACTCCATCGAATGGCAGCAAATATTTGTCCCAGTCTCTGGCCCCTTTTTATCCCCATTTTTAATTGGAGTTTATGCTACTTTTATGCATATTAATACTTTTATTTTGTAATACGAGCAGGGCTTTTCGGTAAGTGGTTTTTGCATTGAAATGTTTTCAGGTAATTGGCTTGTGGGAGCCAGCCAGGACCGGTAATGTGGTGTGTATGTAAAGGGATTTAAAGCAGAACTTTTCAGGAGATAGAAACCATCTGGAAAACGCATTCAATATGATATTTGACTCACTTGGATAGCGTTATATGGGACTAACTGTGTCTTTTGTTGTTTGGATTCCTGGGACCGAAAAGTAAGACCTATCCAGCGCTTATCTGCTTCGCTACTTATTCAATAGCCCTCGCATCCTTAGACAGATGGCCGTCGTTGTGACGCTCATTAGTGGACTTCAAAATGGACAACCGATCAAAGGAGAGCTGATTAGGTCAGAGGCACAAAAGCCGTTGACAAAAGATAAACCTTTGACTAGGTCCAGGTCCAGGTCCATGCACTGGGCACTTCTCTGGCACTCCGCACTCTTCCACTCTCTCTGAGCCCAGACTGCAGTCTAAATGGGCGTGGCTTGGCTTGTAATAACTCACGCCTTTTGACACAGATTAAACCGGCATAAAGACAATGTGAACGGGGAGTACGGGGCGAGAGAGAAAGAGAGACTGCAACGATGATGACAGCGAGGACAAAAGCAAACTTGGCCAAAAGGATTTTATGACCCCACTACCAGAGAGTCAGAGTGTGTGTGTGTGTTGGTGGGTGTGGGTGGGCTGTGTAAATGTTATCCTTTATTGTTTGCCCAGCCTCTCTGTACGGGCCTGCACATGTCACCCGGCAGACTCTACCTCCGCATTCGCATCCGCATCCGCATCTACATCTACATCTGCCCCTATCCTTCGCTGCACATCTTTCTCCACTGTGGCACATCTTCATTGTGGCTGACAGCTTGGCTTCCATTGTCCTTCTGTAAACAACAAAAAAAATCGAGGCCCAGAAGCAGAAATCATTCATATTAGCCATATAGTAATACAGGGACTAATGGAACCAAAAATTCAAGCCCAAGATTTTAGATACATTTCAATCTGTTTTGTGGAACTCCTTTCCCATGGGTCTGCCGCTCAGTCTCTTTGCTTGCTGGCTTTTCCTTGAGCATCATGCATAACATAAATTTGACTCGAAAATGCATCGACTAAAAGGGAAAATTCTATGCATTTTATATGATGCTACTCAGCCAAAGGGCATTCATAGAATGCATCGCATACCCCATTCGCCAACCCCACCATATATGCACACATATTATATAAAATATATGCAGATACGAGTCTCATTTTCCGGCATACACGCACATGGGACGCGAGTCGGGAAACTGCATTTTCTATGCAGAGAGAGAGAGAGAGAGAGAGAGAGTCCCCTGAGAGCTCTGACCAGAAGACAGGGACCTCGTCCTGCGTGTCAAAGAATTCCGCATGCAAATAAGGTTAAGGTGTATGTCGGTCGGGTGCGGGGTGGATCCACCAACCCTCCTGTTGCATAAAATATTCAATGTCTCGTACACGGGAGATGACAAATTTGTTTCCCACATTTGCACATGTTTTTTTTCTAGTTTTTTGTGGGCGGGAAAAAGGAATATCTTAAAAATCTTGGAATTAGCATTAACATGGCTATTCCAATTATGTGAAATACGAGTCTAATATATGTATATTTCTAGGTATAGAAAAAATATAAAATATAAATGTTTTATAGATTTTTTATAGTGATGAAATCGACTAGGAATTCTCTTTGAGATATGTTTATGTGTAAAAAAGTATTTCATCTCATCTTCCTATATAAGGATGACGCTACGAACTATGTATTCATTATTCCGCTCATCCGAAATTGCTGATTGGACAAAGAATATCGCATGCGCTCAAATTTAATCATGAGTCAGATGGCAATGCTCATCAGGAAACATAAGAAAATGAGACATATCAATGAGAAAAAAATTTGCAAAAACGGGAGGGACGCAAAAATAAGTGAAAATCGAAGCCAGCATGAATATATTAAAAATAGTGCAATACTTAAAATAGAATATATTAAATAATAAAATAATAAAAAATTAAATGTTGAAAATATTGTATTATCTGATTTTCTGAAGATGTCTGTACACAGATAATTACATATACCAAGACAACAATTATTAATTATATAATTAAATGAAAAAAAACTAATTATTATTATTTTAAATTAGTTAATAATTTTTAATTAAAAATTAAATAAAATTAACAAAACAATTAAAATGTAGTATATTTATTTTTTATTTATTTTTTAATAATAAACTTATTAAAATAAAATTATAAAATCAACTGAAATTAATATTTAATGTATTAATTTTAAATTAAAAATGTACCAAAAGAGTTTCAATACCTCCTTCATTTTAAAACGATTGATCTTTCCTTTAAAATTCCATAACATTTTTCTGAACAATTCTCTAAATAGCCAAGTGTATCCGTGAAATACTCTATCTTTTCTTCCTTCCTCTAGGAGTAGTGGCATTGAAAAAATGCCCAGCCACAGGCCTTGCGGCCGCCGCCTCGTCTCGCCCTTGGATCCGTTTCGTGGTTTGAGATACAAGATACGAGACGAAACGGAAGCTGGTAGGGGAAATGGGCGGGGAGCAGCAAGCGCTGCTGCAATTTCTGTTTTGAAATTGGCTTATTTAGGTATTTTTTATGCGCTCGACATTCAACGACGATGTCGACGGACGACGACGATGCAGGCTGCTGGCTGCTGGCTGCTGGCAGGCCCTGGCCCTGGCCTTTGTTTTGTAATTGTTTTGAAAGTACGGGGTGGTGGGGGGAATGGCATGGAATGGTGGTGGTACAACGGATACAGTAGGCGGCAAAAGTTAACGTCATTGTCGTTGCCGAACTCTCGCTCCGACAGAAGAAGGACGACATTAGCGGCAACTGTTTTGAGTGCTGCTTCCTGTCGGTTCGTTCTTTATCGTTCCAGGACCCTGGCACTGGCATCCCTCCCGCAACCCCCACAACCTGGCGGCTGTTCTTTCAAGTGGCATTCGAGTGGCAGCCAGGCAGCCAGGCAGGCCCCATTGTGCACCATTATGATGAAAGTTTGTGTCGCAAAATGCAAATATTTGAAAGGTAATTGAATTTGAACTTTCTCGCTTGTCCTTGTCGTCCTCGTACTCGTACTCATACTCGTTGTTCTTGTTGTTCAGTTTTCTATGACTATACATGTATAGACGTGTGTGTGTGTGTGTGTGTGTGTGTGTGTGTGGTAGGGAAGGGCAAGCTATAACTTTAAGTGCCTCCATATCGCGCTTGAAATGGCATTAAAGCTTCGATATTCAAATATTTGACAAACGGCTTACATGTTTTATTTACCCAATGGCCTGAATGGTCAACAAAACTCCAAAGCCCAAACTAAACTGGTATCCCCCTGGTATCTTTCTCTCTCTCTCCCTCTCTCACTCAATGCAAACATCTCCGCCCTCTCGCACTCATTTGTTTGTACAAAATTTGCACACACATGGACGGCCATGTTTTTGAGAGGCAAAATGACAGAAAATACCTCTGGTCACTCTATCCCTCGTTCTGTCTCCCTCCTCCCTCTCTCTGTCGCTCGCTTTCTCTTTCTCTGCCGCAGGTGCATTGAACAATAAATTTTGCTGAAAGCAAACAATTATTTCTGACATGATTCCCAGTTTTCGAGCTTTTCATATTTTTTTGTTTTGTTTTTTGGGCGTTGAACTTTGAGCAGAAATTCGGTTTTTGTTTTTAATTAATTGCCTTGATTGGGTCATAAATGTTTTTGGGGGATTATTTGACAAAGAGTTTTTATCCATATTCAATTTAGGCGACAAAAACAACGATTCAAATGATAATCAACCGAAAAAGGAAAAATGCCACTGCAAAATATAGTTTTATGAAAAGTTTTAACATTCTGCAGAGGTGGTGGAATTTTTATTTAAAAAAATGTTAATCATTTTATGTTTGGGAATAAATCAAAGAATATATTTACCTTGAGAACTAATGGACAATCTAATGGTTTTATTCATTTTTTTTATATTATTTACAAAATAATGGTTAAAATAATAATAAATAAAATCTTTTAAATAATTTTTGTATCTTTTGGTCTTTAGAATTTTTTAAATTTTCGCTTCGTATTTTTTACATTTTCGTACAACTTTCTGTAAAGTATCTTTAAGATTCCTTTGTATCTTTACCTCCTGGCACTTTATTTTTAAACACCAAATGGTGAATATGTCTTTATAATAACATTTTAATGAATTTTAAACTATCTAGAAAGTTATCTGAAAGATACATTTTTATTTTAACCTATTAACAGCTATATTTTTATGGGAAAACGTGCTGCATATGTAGCTAAAATGACAATTTAATGAATAGCTCTTAAAAAATATCTACAAGACACAATTGTATCTTTACCCACTAAAGCCTATTTTTATTGAAAAATTGGTGAATATGTACCTAAATTATCATTTTAATGAACTGTAAGCTATCTA